CGCTAAGCTGTCCAACAGGGGGACTTAAGCTCGTAGGCACGAGCTGGGGGAAGGGGTTAGGGTTAGATTTTTTTAAGAATAGCAACTCTGGATGGCCTGGAATAAAGGGCACCTTGGGACGTGACAGACATGTGTTGGCTTGGTGTGGGACTATTTTTATATTTTTTATGGTCTGACTGCCCAACGTGCTCTGTCCACGGGGGGTGGAGCGCTTGACCTGTTTGGTGGGGCCTGAAGCCCACTTGTTCCCCGCTGGCGCCACCACTGCTCTTGTAGGCCCACCAATAATTTGCCAAAAAAGCTCCAATATTGATTTTGGAAAAAGAAAAAAAAGAAGAAAAAAAAAAAAGAAATAAAAAATTGATTTAAAGTGATTGTGTAAGGCACTATAGAAATACAACTACATTACATTTTGACAAAAAAACAGACCGACTTTTGGTGAGGCATATAGATCTACATTTGGCTGTTGTTTGTCTATTTTTGCTGTTCATTAAAAAATCACATTAAAATCATCCAAATCCTTAAAATACATAATTTTTTTAGGGCTGGCTATAGACCTTTAACACCCCGTAGCATCAGTCCCGTTTTTTTATTCTGTTCGCAAAGTGCTTACCAGGCCCAACCAATGCTCAAACCGTGCCACCACTTTAGTTTTGTAGGAAAGAATTTGTTGCTGAAGCAAGACACTGTAAGTAATGACGTTTAAGTTTCAAACTATATTTACAGATTGTGAATTTAATCAAATTATAAGATGGTATGAATAAGCATGCGTATTTTAAAAGGCGTTGAGAGGATTTGTATTTAGCAGACTAGGCATTTTTGCTCCTTAACCAAGTTCGAGTAATATTCCAAGCACATTACATTTTTTTACCATAGATTTAAAAAAATTATGGTTTTCTAGCATTTTGAGGAGTCCCTTTTCGAATTAATTTGAGCAAGACAATTTTGGCTGTGCATTACTTAGAATATTCACATAGTTCAACTTATATTTAGCACCATATATAAATAATGTACATAGAAAAACACTGGTAGGGGAGAGAGGAAAATAGTACCTAAAATGGCATTTGATTTTTTGATATTTATATATTTTCTGAGTTGATCCCTAAAATCTATTGTGACAAAGTATAATACACAGTCAATTAATAAGTGAAGACAGTTTTAGGGATTCCCCTTTTTTAATCATGGCTGTTGCACAATTAGAAGTCTGGCACAATATGGTGGCAACAAACGTAATACATTTTTTATACCTTGTTTAGCAACCTGGCCACTAAATGGTAATTTTGAATAAAAATAAAATTTTATTTTTAGCCAATTAGCGTAGCCATCACCACAAGTAAATGGAAATTTCATAAAAAATTATTTTTTAAAATTTATTTTTATTACACTCACTGCCGCGTTGAAATCCTCAAAATATATAATCTTTGTTTTCTTAATAAAATATATTTAAAACATCAATTCCATTACTCTATTTACATCATATTCTTTTGGATATCATACGATAGGATCTCCGGTGAACACAAAAGAACACCCATTATTACTTTTTTTAACTTGCATACTCGCAATTTTTCTTACTCAGCAATAAAATTTTAATTTTATCTTCTGCACCGCCTAGATGTTTTTGGCAAAATCATTTTCTTAACAAGAAGATCTGACAATCTTTATAAAAATATGTTTGCTAAGGTATAAAAAAAGTCTTCTTTTGGGAATTGATTTATCGAAATGTAAATAATTTTGCAAAAACATTTTAATATTATAATCTTAAATTTGACATACTGTATAAACTAGTTTCCTTATATACTGAAAATCTATTACATTCCAAGTAAAAAGATTTAACTTTATTTGTATCGTTCCCTATCAATGTTTCCTCTCAGCTGATTATTACATAATGTAAAATACATATTCAACCATCATTTGTTTTTTTAATACCAATGAAATCATATAGAAATTTAATAGCATTTACAATACTTCACAAATAGCATGACAAAAAGAAGTATTGAGGGTTCCAAACAATCAGTTTCTGACGAATGGTTCACAATTATTAGATATAGTTCAAATGAAATAATTAATAAATATATTATTTTTTAAAATTATAATCAAATAAAAATTAGATAATAAAAAGCATAAGTATATTAGATACTAGTATATTGTAGATAAAGAAAGCAGGACATATAACCATAAACAGGTAACTTAAACCTGAGTCTCAAGAACACTATTCAAACTATAAACCATGAATACTGCAATCATTATACAGAAGCACAATCTCATGTTATTTAACTACAAAAATAAAAGTGCAAGCTTTTTTTAAATGCGGCTGGAAAAAATGAAATGCTTAAAAATCTGGAGTGACTCTATGAGCATGATTTTAATCAGAGTATGAAAATAAATTATTAGTAAAAAAAGGACAGTACTGGCAACCATCCAGACAAGAATACTTACAAGATACAGGGGCGGATTTAGGGGGGGGCCGGCCCGGCCCCGGCCCCCCCTTTTGGGAGGTAAAAAAAAGAAAAAAAAAGAGAGAAAAAGAAAAAAATGATAGCCCAGAATGCCTCAAATGTTATGTTCGGGCGTCTTGAACACAAAAATTTCGCAGGGGCATGCCCCAGACCCCCTACGACAGTGTTGTCTCAATCGGCCCAACTTTCGGCCCCCCCTTTTGGACATTTCTGGATCCGCCCCTGAGATATACTTGTCACAATTGTTTTATGAGTTACTGGTTGTTGGGAAGAGTCTGTGAATTGTTTATATTTATAGGTTAAATAGAAAATTATATTTTGAAGATATTTCACTCAATTCATTAATACATTTTCAAATTATATGAATGTGATTGTTAGAATTTCATTTTTTCTAATGTTAGTCACAACTTAGATTTGTTTGCAAGGGCAAAGGCACTTGATAGAGACTGAATTGTAGTTCATGCAAATAACCAGATTACAATAATTATTATTAGCACTCAACTTCTCTACTTGTATTAATATATGTACAGTAGTTAAGAATCTAAAATCCTGTGGTCATAGGAATTGACCCCAGGACTCTGGAATTTGAAGGCAAGCAACTCTACTCTGTATACCAACTAATAAAATTAACTTTGTAACATAAGATCATCACAAATTTGAAGTATCCTACTAACTATCATACTTTTGTACATTTTTTTGAAGCTCACATTAAAGCACATTACTAAAATTCATCAGGGAGAAAAACGACAATATGTCGGGAAGAAAAAAAAATTATATGAATTTTGTACATATTAATAGACTCTAAAATTTAATAAATAAGCCTTTGAAACCCCTAAATTGTCATATTTTCGGGGGCTATGTCCCATGGACCACTTTCAAAATGCTTTTAGCGACGCCTGGCCACGCCCATTTTTTTCTCGTCGGGGACATCATTCTCTTTTCTTATACACTTATTAGGTGGATATTTATTGAGGTATTCATAGTTCTTGGTATTGGAATACTCCCCCAGGGAACTGAGTATGTGTGCCATGGGTATAGTTCCTTAATTGCTGGTGTAATCATGTAAAGCACTTTGAGATTTAGTTAATAATTAATAATAATATTATTATTATTTATATCATTTATATAGCAACTTTTCTTTGCTGATACAAAGCACTTCTTTTCCCTGGTCATTGAGTCTACATGCTGTATGTGTTGCTGCTGTTAATCAGCGAAGGGAGCAGGCAACCTCACCAGGTACCCATTAATACTCCTGGGTGGAGAGAAGTAATGCAGATAAAGTGCCTTGCTCAAGGACACAAGTGAAAAGCTAATGTACCACACTATATAAGTATAAAAAATATCTCTATCATATTCTGTATAGAATCACTGTATATTTTGTTTAAAAGAATTTACAATTTTTATTTATGGTACTTCGAGATTTCTTCAGGCTTTTATAATGTTGCTTTGTGGTTTAAAACATAAAAGTGAAATAAATTGAAAATTTAATCAAAACATATTAAAATCTGGATTTGAATATTAATTAAGTACTTGATAGGCTGAAAGAATAAAGGGGAGGAGCTTCAATAATTTAACTTCTTCATATAATTATTGTTACAGAAATTTAAAAATAATCATTGCATGAAGTACTATGTTGCAAACAACACTTTGTTACCTGACGATGTTAACCAAGCGGTTGATAAAGCTGATTGCCTCTACATCTAAGCAACAATTCCTAGCTTTTTTTACTGATGTATCAAAAACTAAACATTTCCAGTTAAAACATAATAAAAACATGAAAGCCGAAAATTGCACTCTCAGGGTGCGTTCGGGCGAGAACGGGAAAAACTTGCATAGGGTTCTTACAGGTGGTCTAGCAGTTTGTGCAGAACTCGGCTTTCAAAAAAAACCATTAACCGGACGTAAACTTACGATTTATGCAAATAATTGAGCTTCTATCAAGTTGCCCTGGATTCTTGCATCACCCCACGCTTTAATTAAGAAATGGATTTTGGCGTTGGTCAACAGCATAATGTTGTTGTCTCAAAATCAATTAACAAAATGACCAAAAAATCTACAACAATAATAAAGCATTGCAAAGTCCCAATAAATTGCAGATGTTCATTTTGGGCATATAAACCATGAATAAACTTTCATTCGTTTGACAATGGTAGTTTAAAAACAGAAAATTACTACATAATGTATGGCAGTTTCGCGTTTTAACACCCGTTAATGCGAGAACTTCAAATAGCCGTTTGCACATTTATCCTGTGTTAGAATTCCACAAAAAACTCACCCAAACGCACCTTCAGTATCTCTAAATTTCAATTTAGTTTTTTTTCCTCCATTTGGTTATGTAATTATGAAAAGTTTATTGGGGTTGTGGGAAGGCAGCCTGGCTTCCTATCTTTCCCCCACCCACTTTTAATTTCCTATTGGCTTTGATTAGTATGTTTAAATCCACAATCAAAGCTACTATAAAGCTGAATTCTTTCTGTTTCACTTAGCTGTAGTTTTGGGTGATAAAGATCTTTAAACTTTTAATCAATTATTCATCAGCAATTGGGTATAATAATGAGGCTCAATCATTACTATCACAAAATAGGCACTTAGTTTGTACTAAAATTATAATTACTGTACTATACAACCTACACTTCTTCCAATAATAATTCTATTAATAATTAGCATTGCACCAAAATATTGACTGCTCTACTTGTTTTTTTATTGATTGTAATTAATTTAATATTTCATTTTTTGCAACCTACCACTCAAACATTGCATAACAAAGGTTAAATACAAAATATGGGTTCAATATCAGTCTAAATGATTATGAATCAGCTCAAATAGTTTTCCATTCAAATAGTTCCAGTTTTTACAACACTGCTTTATAAATATTGTTTTTAAAAATATTTTACTCCGAAGTACTTTACGGTGTATATATAATTTTTGAAACATTTTAATTTTTAGATAATATTTAAATTTTTTATTACAATGTTTTTTCATTTTTATCTTTTATCAACTATTTACACATTTTTAAAAAAAAGTTTGAAGTGAAGTAATAGCAACACAAAAAAGAGAAGCATGTTGTCAATTAGAAGAACATAAAAATGTTATCATATGTTGTAGCAAAGCATCTAATAATCAATGTTAAAGCAAACTATAATTATGACAAGTGGCAAAAAATAAATATTGAAATACTTACTTGTTGATGTAACTTTAGTAGTCAATGTTGCTGGAAGTTAAATTTAATTAAAATCTTAACTGCTACAAATGCACTCTCTTGAGCAGTATAATGACTTTTTGACAAGAAAATAACTACGAGTTCAATTTACAAGGTAACATAGAATACAATACAAGAACAACCACAACACACAACATTATCCTAACAACCAAACAAAAAAATTAACCAAAGAAAGAAAGAAAGAAAGGCCAGCCCCAATCTTTCCCTTTTCTATCTATTAAGGTTGAGTGTCTAGCAGGTGCTAAATCAGCACACCTGCAAACGTAATTATACAGCTGGACCTGAAAACCACACCAATAAATGCGATTGGCTACTATTTTGCAGCTTTCCCATCTTCCCAATTTTAACTTGTATGTTCCTATTTTTAAATATCACTTGTAGATGAGGTGGAGATAAATACAAGAACAAAGAATAAGTTAAACTTGAACTTGATTGTGCAAAACTGCCCCACTTGGAGATGTTTTTGCTTGAATAGCACTGCATCAATCATGATTTTTTTTTTTTGTTAAATGCCTCTCTCGACCAAGTGCCACAGCCTTTATTAGTTTTCTGTATTGAATTTAAAACACCACACAGCCTAATTGTGAGTACAAACTTAACACTCTTTTTTGATGTTTTTTTTTTTTATCATCAGGATATTATCAATATTAAATAACTTCTCATATTCCTTTCAGGATATTTAAAGTGCATGTATTGAAACCGCCAATAATCATATAAAATCCAAAGCTATCATTGGAATATTACTGGAAATGGATGTATTTGCTATAGCATAAATGCAATAGTGTTTGATTATTATCTTTCCAAACTATTATTAACTATCCTTAGATATATTACACTGGTTTCAATTTTAATTAGCTCCCTCGGACTACATTTCAGAAGGACCCTATAATACAATTTTAGCAGTGTCCAATGAATTTCCCCTGATGGAGTTTAGTAGATTGTTAGACAAATGGTGGCATCAAAGTGATAAAATATAAGCATTAACTATGCTAAAAAACTAAATATGACAGATAATCCACCAGCCGCCCCCCACCAAAAAAACAAAAAAAAAACAAAAAAAAACCTAAGTTTTGATACGGTGCACCTAGTTAGAATAAGGCTTTCTTTTGGGAAGCCCAGAAAAGGAAGTCGTTGTATTTTATTATCTTTGAATGTTTTTGTAACTAATGAATGAAATAAATGAGGTTTGTTAAAAAACAAAATTAAAAGCATATCACTTCAATAAATAATTATTAAAATACAAATAAAAGTGATTATATTTTTGCAACAAATATAAAAAGTATATGACAGTACATGTTAAGTAAACTATTATTATTTTATCATCTGTTGTCAATATGAAAAGGCAAAATCAACCAATAAAATACTTACTTGTTGGTGCATTAATAGTAGAAGGCACTGTGAAAACCAAGTTTAAATAACAATGCAATAATGATGCAACAAAATATCAAAAATATGTAGTGAAAAACAATTGGTTCTTATAAACTATTAAATTACAACATGATTTCACTGGTAGCATATTCAAAGTATGATGGAGTAAACACTACCCAAGTTTATATTGAAGTAAATTTAACAAAAAACAAATCAGTTTTATTTGGCTTCAAAATGTAAAATAATTTGTGTACAGTAGTAAAGAATAGGCTAGGCTCTAGTTGGTTGCGGCTTGACAGCTCAGCACGAGAGATTCAATGTTGCGTGCATACATAGGCATCGCGTTCAGTTCTCAAAATTATGCCTTCTATTTTACCGATTTTACATGCGACATCTACAGTATGGCCCGATTTTGTCTATTTTAGATTTAATGTTCTAAATGTTAATTTTGGAAGAGGTATTTCTGGAATTTGTACTTGAGTGAAAGGAAGGCCTTTGAACAAAATTTCAGGAAAAAAAAATGCTGACAAAATTTTTTTGAGAATTGCGGTCGGTCACGGAGGGCAAAACAATATATATTTTTTTTTTTGGCCTAAACTTCGAAATATAGTGTTTGTCTTTTTAGCATTTTTGCTGTTGTGTGCTTTGTTGACTGTCCTAATGTTTTAGTGGATGTTGTTTGATATCTTTTTTATATTGTAATTATCAAGCAATTAATAGAGCTGCACATAGTACACTATAGGAAAATTATTCTACAGAGTTTAGATGTAATACTCGAAAAAATTTCCTAAGGGCCTGCAAGGTCCGAAGGAAATTTTTGAATGCATAAATCTAATCGAAGTATAATCATTTTCCAATAATGTATGATGTAAGCAGCTCTACTTGCTTTTTAAATCAACCGCCGGCTTTTAATGTTAGTTTTGATAATCAACTGTTGTAGCAGTCATCGGTTGCTATAGTGATGTGATCAGTATACTGAGTGTGAAATTACATTTTGCTGTGCATATGCTGATTTGTGCTCCTGAGCGATGTTAACACATCAGCAGTACATACAGTACAGATACAATAAATAACTATCACGTTTGAAAAACTTGTTTGTAATGCTATTTTGATAGACAATCATCAAAGAAATAAACATTTCTTAAAGCATTTGAGAGAATACAGTGATCACTTTTTGGTCGGTTCAGGTAAAATCGTGCAATGATTTCTTAACTAGGCTAGGCAAGGGCTTAGACCTAGAGTAGGCCTTGGTAGCCTCCTGCCTGGCAGTGGGATTCTGTTGTGTGAAAGTTGCTTCCACCTTTTGCACACAAACCTAATTAAAGATCAAGTCAAGCATATACTATGTGAAAAATTACTGTACTGTGGGAGATAGGCAAATAACACTGGGAGTTGACATCACGATTGACTTATAATATTTTTTATTCCATTTGATCATTGTTTTAATATCCTTACTGCGTATTATATATATACAGGCCAATTATTGTTTCTAGTACCATTTCAAAAATTTTCGAGTTGGATTTTCTTGAATCGTATGGTAATTTTGAATTTGACCCTTTACAATTTGGTTTTATAAATGGTAGAGTAACAGCCATGGCTGCCACTATACTGTCAATGACGTCTTCGGCTACTGCATCAATAAAGGTTCTAATGTATTTTTGTGTTCCCTAGACGCCGAGGGTGATGTCATTTTTGAAAAATTAGGTGACAACATTGATAATCCATGGTGGAGATGCTTAATATCTTGGTACGCATATTTGACGGTGAAAGTGAAGTGGGGTGGTTCCCCAAGNNNNATAAGTAGAAAAATTGGACAAGACAGGGGGTGGGGGGGGATTGTCATCTCCATTCATATTTAATCTATTTTATAAAGATCTTATTCAAGGACTAAATTAACTGCGGTATAGTTATAGCCCACTCTGCCTTCAATGCATTTTGTTATTCCGATGATATTTTGCTTGCTAGCCTAACGACCACTGGGCTGCAAAATTTAATTGCTTTGCCATAAAAAAGATACAACTTTTTCAAAGAATACACTTGTTGATAGGATTAAAAATCGGTTTGCAAATCGATCAGACTTTTCTCTATGCAAATATATATTTAATGAAACTGATCGTAGCAACTTCAGACGTTCCATTAAAAACGTTGACTGCTTTAACCATGGTATTTGTGACAGTATCGAAACGATTCTATATGAAAATTCGTTCCATGGCAACAATAACCCTCATCTCATGGGGCTACTGCTGAAGTCGTTTTGGTAACATATATGTATGTGTGTGTACATGTGTGTATGTATATGTATATATATATATATATATATATATAGATTAAAAGGCAAAATACTGGAAAACAACAATGCTGTGGGAAACAATGGCTGGATCTCAGTAGAGATACAAAAATGATAAGCAACAGCTAAAAAGTAAACGTAAGTAAACAGCCAAAAATAGAACCAGAGCTTTCGGACAACACTAGTCCTTCC